TTACACTCACCTCGCTTCTGTTTGAGTATATATTCGTGGTCATGGCTTTTCACTGACTGTGGAATATGTTTCAACGTACAATGTTTCTCTCTTTCAAGTTCGTTGAACGGCTACCTACTTTTAGTATGTCACTATAAAACGGACGGAGTTCAACGCATTAGATCAGTTGCGTCAACCATGACAACATCTAAATGATGGACCACGTTTTCATTATTAATGAATTACATATTTAATTATAATTATTCAACACTGCTATAGATAACCATAATTGCTGGAATAAACCCCGTGAACATGAAAATTGACTACTAAGTTTTGTGAATCCAAGTCCTGTGACTTGAAGTGGATAATCACACAGTAGTGTTTCAGTAGGATGGGCGTGGTATTGGCCGAGGCGACAGCGAATCCGTGTGTTATAATTCCAGACGTTGGTGCTGGTCGAGGAGAGTCCTTTATTGAGGATCACAGATGGGACATCAGTAATTTGGCATACATTACACCGAAGATCTCATCGGAAACATACCGTCGCAGTTCCTGGCTGCACAACGAGTAATGGATGTAGTAATCGATAGTTATTCTTTGAGACTCAGCAAATTTGCCCACGGTGATCTTGTTGATTTGTGATCGTTGAAATAAATCACCAACTATGTTACCTACCACTCACAAGCTAGTAGTATCTCATAACACGTGTACCGTCAAAGCGACAACGTTTCTCCCTTATCTCTTTTCCGTAATTAGTGTTTTCCACTGGCAGCTTTTATGTCGCGCAAACGTTTATATTTATATGGAGTGTGCCATTTCCCGTTGTTTTGTTCCAAAGAATTTTTTGATGAACTGAATGTCATGTTTTACTCATATTGAATGTAAGATTACGCACAACTACGCAGTTTTCAGTTATCATCTGTGGGAACCAACTTACTTACTAAATTATTTATTTACTTACCTACTTTGATGGATTGCTATTAACTGCATTTGGTTCTCACCAGGCAGTGAACTTCTCGTCAAGTAACGAACGGAAATCCACCCTAGCCAATTCATGTTAGATTCCCTTTCGTCTTGCAACCTCCCGCTGCTGCTTCGCTGGTACTTTTCTATTATCCCTTAGTATCGTCGCGTTTGCACTGTGAAGTTTAATTTTTGAGTCGTTTTCTTTTTTCATCTGAGGAGTGTATTTCTTGTGAATGTTCGTATATAGTTGTTGTGGTGTATTTGGTTTTATGATTGCACAACTTGTGACTGTTCATCCCTTTGTTTTTCTCTGATGTTTATCATAGAGATCTTTTCGTTGTTCCTTCATGTGCCATAATTATAAAGTAGTTTCCTGCTTATCGAACATCCATATAATTTCCCTCCAAATGACACTATCGAACTGAGCTGTTTTTTTTTTGTTTGGCTATATCAAATGCGTTCTTGTTTATAATCAATGCAGTTGTGTGTTGTCGGGGTTGTCTGTCGGACGCGATGTTCCCGAACCAGGACAATATGATACCTTCCCCCCCCCTCCGCACTCAATGTCAGGTTCTGTGAATGCAAATGAGTTCATTCGAATGAGTTGGTTGTTTTAGTTGTTGTTTGTGCATGCGAACCTGTCGCTGGATGTGTCCCTATGCAAGTCAGCTCATTTTCCCCCGTCTATTGGTTTTCTGCACTACTCCTTAAACGATGAAAGTGGTTCTTATTCGGAGTCTGCGCGTAGCGTTGTCCCGTGCCTCCTACATACAAGCTGATTCACGGGTAGCGTGTGCTGCAGTATACTAATGATGGGTCAATCATTCTACTCCGTGACCAAGCTGTCTTCCCTTCTCACTTATGGTGGCTGACTTGCACTTGTTTGCCCGTTCCAAGGATGTCGTTGTTGTCTACATAAACACGCTGGAATATTACTTGTTGGAGTAAAAGAGATGATATATCTGAGGAACAGATTCCAGCAATGTGCAGTGCAAATTACCGAAACTGATAGAGGTGATCTGGATTGACTGAAATGCATCAGATTTCTTTAGGAATCACGATGTATACACTGGATATCGTTCAGTTTCAGTCAATTTCACTGGCACTCATCGATCCATGTGTTGTGCTCAGTTCCATACGACCCTTCTCTACCTGTAAAACAGTCAATCAGCCCGATAGTTCAACTGAGCAATTTTCAATAAACCTTATAAGATCTGTAACTAAAGCGGATGAAAAGATGATGTGGAGATAAAGTAGCGAAACGGTTAAAAATGCTTAATAAAAGTAACGAGCCACAATGATTCGGATTCTACAGTTCGGTGAAATCTACTGTTGGCTTGCTTACACAATCGATTACTCGCATCTCTTTCTACTCATGTTTGATGATTTTCCCCTTTGAAAGATTGAAATCGCTAAGTTTTGAATGCTTATATTGAAACTTGTTTTATTGTCTAAACGAACTTCTTGGACATCATTTTGTACGGTCCTTTTATTTCATCCTATCTTATCCGTTTGTCTAACCTCACCCCCGCCTGTCCTCAAATAAAAATACCAAGCGTATTTTTCCGCTCAGTATTTGTACATTCTCTGCTCCTTGTCTCGACCTCAGACGAAATGCTGCGTTACTTTAGTTTGGTGTCATTTCTTATTCACATGTTTTTGTGGGTTATTTTTTGAAAACGGTCCGAAATGGTTGACTGATCTGTGTCCGATCCAAGGCCGACGTATGCATGGACTTTGTTGCATGGTGCAAATATTTCAGTTGGTTGGACGAGAACGATCAATGGAAGGCTGTTTGCTCAATCCAGACGTGTTGGACCTCACACACGTTGACCATCCGCTTGGTTTTTTTGGTTTGAGAACAAAGCAGAATGCATGTTTATGATCTAAGGGATTTGAACCGACAATCATTGTCAATATCAACAATCACCGAAGTAATTGTTGCACAACTGTGTTGCATTCAATCGCCCCTCAACGTGTGTACAGATTCTATTTACAAAACAAACATTTCTACTCCGGTTTCTTGTCGATTTATTTCCGAACTCCTTTGTTCTTATATTCAGTCTAATCCTTATGTCAAGAAACGGGTAAAATTCTCCTCTCCAAGCACTTGTTGAGTGCATTTACTCGCTGTTCTGTTTATTGGACGAATAGGCAAAAAAAGATGGATGTTTCTTCTGTTTAAAGAGACCAACATATAGCTTGATTCGGTGGATGGAACTGCGATACTTCCGTTCTGTTTCATTCACTGTGACTGAACGCATTGCTAGTAATTTCCAAAGTGCTATACTTCGAATGAACACCGTACTTTGAGAAGAATAACCAGTTCAGTGTCATAGACCGTCAGCACCCTCGATTTATGATTTATTGCCCGACCTTCTGTAAAGGATGACACCACCATCATTCCACTGCGCAGAGACTTGGCCATTAAGGAAACAGGATAAAGATAGACTGACTGTTCGAACACCGCTGTCTATGCAGCATTGCACGAATTTTGTGGGGCAGCCGAACGAGCAATACTGAGGTTAGGCACAGAGTTTTAGGTCAACGCGACCGCCCATTGGAGCAAGTGGTCGACCTCCATAGATTACGTTGGTTAGGGTATGTGTTATGCATGTCACCAGATAGATTGCTACAACGAGCGATGTTCGCCGAGGCAAGTAGTGGGTTGAAGAAAGTCAAGACAATCAAGCTTATACATGGCCTGAGGGTATGAAAACCCTAACCAGGAGTCTGGATCACATAGGTCCCATTAGGCTTCCTGGCTGGGGACCTCGGGATGATGGTCACCGATGTTTAGAGACACTGAGTGATATGGCTGTGTCGTGCATCTTGTCGATTTCTCTGCAAAATTAGTGCAATGAAATCCTGAATTTTCTCTTCGATCCTTCTTTCAATCTTTCCTGTCTTTCGCCTTGTGTTCATCCAAATGGGCAGCCAAAAGACAGCAACCAAATCCGGTGCACAATAGTGCATGGGTAACAGTTGGAGAAAATGAAACGGTGAATTATTCGAAGAAAACTTCACTGCCAATGTCATAATATGGACAAAGCATGTACGCTTTTGGGGTAGTTGAAAAGTGAACTTGATTTGAAAATGAACCACTACTGCCGAGGCAGCTTGACTGTAGATACCTTCCTTTTCGAGCCTTCTAGAAATGACAGTATGAACGCCACTGTTATCAGTTCACCTTCAATCTTCCAGTGCCCACAAACAACCGACTCAAGGTTCGCTGTCTCAGGCTAGAGTACTACGTCGTATGGATGAACTTGGGTTTCGTCAAGAGATTTAGGATAAACGTTAGCAAAACCGAGTCATATCCCCGGAGGTTAGTGCTGAGATGAGCGAGACGCGGTGCCCGCAACAAGCTCCAAAAGACGGGTTGTGTCATATCGTGTAAACGGAAAAAGAAAAAGGGTCTGATCAGCTGCCCGCTGACCGAGTGGAGAGCATGCTTGGGTTCTATCTGTGAGATTCTTGGTTCGATCCCCCGTTGGGTCGATGAGCTCGCACTTCAGATGAGACTGAATCAGTCGAAACAGCTTTCCAGTGCTTCTTAGTTTTTCTGTTCACACTGCATTTACTTTATGCACGACAATTTCCCTCTATGAAATAAAATGAACTCTCTAATCAGGATAACGGAAATGTGCAATCTAGATCCTTCGACTTTGATTATCTAATCACATAGAAATGTACTGGTGAACTGCTTCTTCTTCAGTGGAGAAGCTGTAACACAGCTATAACTACCGGTGTCGAATGGCTCGCGCACACGTTTCTGTTTTCGCGACCATTAATCATGCATTTCAATGCGCCGGTTTCGGTTGCTGACACCATTTGTGTTCAGTTCGTGACACATTTGATGTGCTTAATGGCGGTTTGCAAATTCATTGGAGGCTGTTAGGCCACGTGATTGTGGTCATTAAATAAGCGTTGGTAATAAAAAGAATTAATCCGATTGAATTTACGTGAATTACAAGTCGTTGTTAGTTTTCAGGATAAATAACATTTTTAATTCCCACTTTTTCTCTCTCCCTTCCTCCCACATCCATGTCTGATTACTTTTGCTTCTCGATTCCGGTCACCTGAACGCGTTCGATTTTGTGCAGCTGGGCACCAGCACCAAGACAATTTTGGATGCGTGGAATACCGCCACTACACGCTGGNTCGTGAATGCGTGTACGATCGCGTGCCCAAACGGTATGCGGTGTGGGCGGTGTTTGTTGCTTCGGCCGTTTGGCATGGATTTCATCCCGGATTCTATCTGGCATTTGTGTCCGCGGCTTTAATAACCGTATCCGGGCGGTGAGTGAAACAAAGCTGTGAAATTATCACCCGTATTTTTTACTTTACGAACCGCATGGTTCATTCCTGGAGTGCTTTTTTCTCGAAAAGAAATCACATTCGGTGATTGTTTCTGTTTGTTGTTGTCAATATCAGCACAGATTGTGTCACGTGGCCACGGACATTTACCGAAATGATCGGGGTTCGGTGTCAGTTGTAATCGGTCGGATCGTAGAATTGGATCAAAAGTTCAAAACAGCATCATGTAAATGGGTGTTCTCTTTTGAGTCTTTCTGCATCCGTTGTCTGCTACTATTCACAACTGTGATTTTTGTCAACTTTTCGGTTAAGCTTGACGATAAGTATCCCACGATCGTGTCGTCCCGTGACTTTCACCAAGAAACACCTTACAACTTGTCCAGACTCTAAAAGAACCTATCTGGGCTAACATAGTGCCTCGGTATTCATGTCCGCTTGGCCAGATCTGCTCCTGACTCATTTCCCCGATATTCCCACTGTAGTATGCCGGACCGACCCTAGTTCTGAATCCACTCGAAATACTGGCAGGTTGACTCCGGGCAACGTAGTCCAAGTTCTCATGCAAATAGCGTCGTCCCCAAAACGCCGCACAATCGGTAGCCACTTACCGACGCTCTCAATACACAGGTAGGTCACACTTCTCACAGTATGTTCTCCGTGGAGGGTGCGTCCAAGCAACCTGCAAAACAGCGAAAATACAAAAAGCAACCATGAACCAAAAGATCCAATAAGACATGTACACGACTCACACTCAATTCAGATTGCTGCCCCTGTGTGTTTATTACATCACCGTTACTTGTCTCGACAAATAATGTATGTGACTGGGACATCAGCCCAGAGAACCACAAACCAATCTTCGCAGCAGTCACAGCATTTTAACAGTTCATCATCTTGCCAATTTTGTGACCCCCACCAGATGACAGATGATCCGGTTTGTCACCATCGGAAAAGGGTGTATGACAGTTTCTAACTCAGATATTCCATTGATAACGTGTACATCTACTTTCTCCAAACTACGCGAACCCACAATTCACAGCAGAAAGAAAAACAGCTCGTAACACTCGAGGTTTCAGGACGTTTGTCACTTTTGACAATGTATTCCTTTGACGTACTTGAATCGTTTACCGCTTGAATGTATTTAGATATTTTGCTCAAAAAGAAACCGTTGGGTTTAAACGGGCCAGAGTGTAAATGTGACAGGTAGCAAATAGATTGAGAATGCCCCAGAGACACGACAATCTGCCAGCTCTGAGGTGCTACTGTTATCAGTTATCTATAAATTTCTCCGGAAGTTTTCCACTTGATTGGTTTCCCATTCTGCTTTCATAATCATTGCCGGCGGAAACGGTTTGGCATAAATGTTATCGTAGATACTTGATTGTAACCATTGCCTGTGTGTGATTGTCATTTCACCATTTTTTTTCTCTCGCCCCTGCCCCCCTTTCGACCTCTCTACCGTACTGACATGGACCGATCATATTTCACAGATTTGCTCGTCGATATCTGCGACCGCATTTCCTTGGCTCGCCTGCAATGCATTTTATCTACGATATCATCACACATATTGGGGCAGTGTTCTGTTTGAACTATTTGGGTGCTGCTTTCCTGCTTCAAAAAACTGGTCCAGTTCTTCACTTTTGGCGGTAAGTGACCGTAAATATTTAGCAGCGACTTTGCGCATCCTTTTTTTGCTGGACCATTGTACAGTCAGGTAACTTTTGAGGAACCTTGGTCAACATATGTAAAATAATAACTTTTTGTAACCTATTTAGTGAAGCAGCGACAAAGGGGATTAAATGCTCAAATCCGTACCATGGTACATACTGTCAATACCAATAAATTTATTGAAACACCACAGACCGTGAATAGTTAATACGACCACTATTCGCGATTCCCACCTGTCCTCTGTCGCTTTCTACTTGGTCGCAAATTTCGTACGATTTTATACTTCACCGGTTCCTTCTCGATCATGATGACTGCACTTTTACTGGTAGGCTTTTTAATGCAGCCGATACGATGATCAACCGTCTACCGTCGGAAAGGTTCAGCCCCTTATCGAGCTGTTTTTCATTCAAATCGCCAAACTAATTGTGATGCACATTAGATGTTCGTGTGTCAGATGTGACACAATCCATTGCACAGGTGTTTTCGAACTAACTGGGTCACTTTAGTCTGTGTGTAACTGCTGATGAACGGCTTTGGGTGATTGTTCTTCATGTATGCATGTATGTATGTATGTATGTAGTGTGATGCTGACTTCGAATGTAAGAGTCAACTTGAATAACATCTTTGTTCATACACTGATGTCTTCATCTAAGTATACTTAACACGTGTCATTGTGGCCGGTAGCTACATACGTTTAAGGGTCCCCACAGAAATCAAATATGATTAGCCGTACAGACTGTCTATCCTATTGTTTGACTTTCACACTTAAGTGGATCAGTTCGGAGGAGACGGTTTCAAATAAACGGAAGTTATCAAAGAATAACCTTATCTTGACCGAAAGTCGATTCATTTCAGGAATTGATTCATGGGAGATTTTTGTAAAGCTTCTTGAAAAATTGACTAGTTCTACCATTTATTGGTTTCGAAAACTGAAAATTCTTTCCCTCCGTTTTGTTTCGACGGCCAAATAGCTGTTCTATTTCCCAAATCCGCTGTTGGCTGCCCTATTTTCCTCTCCAGCTGGTGATGTGTAATTTCGGATTAAAGGGAAGGTTTTAAATTCTCACGCCCTAGTCTTTCCTCAATTTACATAAATGGGTTAATTGGAAAGCCTTAAGATTTCCACTCAACTTCTCGAATCAAATTTGGGGAAAGGATTACTGCAGGCCGAACCACCCATTATACACTGAATTACCGTGCTATCGTTCCTTTCGCTCCACACGCCCTGAGTTCCGAAAAATTTCATCTCGTATAAATCCTTGCCGAATTTCCCCTTCGCCTTTTCTCGCAAATGTGATCACAAGGAAAGTGAGAGAAAAACAAGTGCACCGCGCCTTGACCATGAAGTAAAAGTTATTTTGTAATCTTTGGATACGATTTATTTTCGCGAATTGTGTCAATATGACCACCGATGTGTTTGGTCTTTTTAACTGAAATGTAAGCTCCATTGTTTTGTAAAAGTTACGCGATCAAATACGAAAGCGACCGTGTAGAAAGTTGAAAGTGTTCAACATCTGCAGGAAACATGCAGGTGCACGAGCGTAGCTATCTCCGTTTGGTATGAAAGATGGTACTAACCGGAATTTCTGACAGCACATAATTGACCGCTGACATTAGTCGAGATTTTCATTCCTGATTCGCATTCATATGCAAACCAGTACCGGTCTCGGAAAACAACTCACGTCAAGTAGTTGACGGTCTGACTCGCACATGTTTTCCCACCCGTTCGTTTGTTCTTTGATGCTATGAGTTAGCCACAAATCTGTCTGTGACGCGCCTACATGAAGCTGTTGCATCGGTATCTGTTCTCGTTGACTACTCACCAGAAGCACTCCGCACGACGACGTGTTGCAATGCGTTTGGGTTATCAGAGAACGCACTTGGTCTACTGGTCTTCATGGAGGCGTTTTCACTATTTATACTAATGCACTATTCGTCTGAAACGATAGGAATCATGTGTGATCCCAGTGATTGAGACCTCAGTTCGATAAACCTACGGATTGCGCAATCGGAAAACAGCCACCTAAATTTACCGAATTGAGACGTCTCTGGCGCCGTCGCGATATCCGGTTGTCTGTGAAGGGTCGAGTATATGCTGCAGCAGTTCGACCAGTTCTGCTTTTTGGTTCAGAGACTTGGCCATTAAGGAAACAGGATAAAGATAGACTGACTGTTCGAACACCGCTGTCTATGCAGCATTGCACGAATTTGGTGGGGCAGCCGAACGAGCAATACTGAGGTTAGGCACAGAGTTTTAGGTAAACGCGACCGCCCATTGGAGCAAGTGGTCGACCTCCATAGATTACGTTGGTTAGGGTATGTGTTATGCATGTCACCAGATAGATTGCTACAACGAGCGATGTTCGCCGAGGCAAGTAGTGGGTTGAAGAAAGTCAAGACAATCAAGCTTATACATGGCCTGAGGGTATGAAAACCCTAACCAGGAGTCTGGATCACATAGGTCCCATTAGGCTTCCTGGCTGGGGACCTCGGGATGATGGTCACCGATGTTTAGAGACACTGAGTGATATGGCTGGGTGTCGTCAACAGTGGCCTTCATGCATCCACTCATTATTCTTGTAAATTCAGTCTATCTAAATGCCTTATCTCCTGCTTGAATCTGCTCTCAACATTCTCATCATCATTCTGCTGTTTAATCTAAATGGGCAACCAAAACTTGCGCTCGAAGGTGCATGGTTAATGGCTGTGAGAGCTGAACTGAACTGAACTGAAATACCCTTCCGCAGTTGAGGTCCGATTTTGTCCTGAATGGTAGTTCTCATCGTTCTTCGCTGATGCATTTCCGTTCTCATTGCGAAACTGAAGTTTGGAAATACAGAACGATTTGACACGCATCATTTGCTCGATGCATTTTGATTGATGCAGAAAACCCGATACTGAGCAAATAGCGCAAGTAAGTCTACTATTTTTGCAACTTCCGAACCAAAGAAATATCAGCTATAATATTATTGGACGTTGCCCTCGATGGATGAATACGTAGATGAAGACACTGCGTAAACAGACGGAATGGTCAATATGCCTATAGTTACAGCCTCGGGTCCATGAATTAAAGAGAATTTCTCTGTTCATGTGAAAAAGTAACCTGTCCTGTTTATTCAGGGTCATGTTAATTTTTTCGTCTTTTGTACGGAAAGATTGATACATTTTTGCAAGTCGGAGTCCACAATCGATCAACATCTGCCTGGGGAAAGTAGATCATCCGTGCTGCAATTCGAACGTATTATATTTGCGTTGGTTGTGATGACTATAGTTCGATGCACGT